ATTAGATGCGTTTTCAAAGTGAAACGTCCGTTTTCAAATTCCTCCAGTGAAGTGTAGAAGGGGCCTAACATGGCTGATTAATAAAAGAATTTAAAATATTCAATGGTTTCTTTCCCTGATTAATGACGTTTCTGGCGCTCTTAGGCTAAAGAAAACCTTTTAAACCGGTCTCCCCTCGTACAGATATTGTGCACTCGATTCCCGCGATATTCCCTGTTGAGTGGAGTTGAATAATATTTCATATCAGATAATTCACAGAAGCAGCTAATTCCTTATTTCCCTCTGTACTATTTTTAAGTCATCGTTGACCGCTTTTCTTCTACAAATGCTGAAATCATGCGGTAATATTAGCCACTCACAAGAGGTGTGCAACAGACAGTCAGACTCTTAACCAATCAGAGCCAAGGCTTTTTCTGTTTAGCCAATCAGAAGTTGTCGTAGTTTGGTTTACTCAATTTTTTCCCGCGCTCGTCACCAGTTGTACCGCATGTGTTTTCTTTTAGTCCTTTGGGAGGTGGGGGGTGGTAAGGGGTAAGGGGGGGGGGGTGTTGGAGAGGTGGGAGGCATTCAGATTGTGGCTGTAAAAATAAATACACTGGTGAAATTTCAGCTGGTGAAATTCCTGGGTCCCGATTGTGTTCGGAGGGCGCAGGATCACCTTGGAATTGATAGACGCATAGACCACAGATGTCAGTCAATTTGAAGGAGGTTTATTTACTGTAATATTTATTTTATACAAAGTTAGTATTATGGGCTGTCACTAGAAGACGATGATGATGATGACGACATGAACTCGACTTCATCCACGCCTTGTTCCTGTCTGCCATTGGTCACTTCCTTCGTCAGATTGTTAGCTATGATGTCCAAGCTAGAAGAGGTGTCATGCTGTCAAAATATCAAATTTGTTATTAACATTTTCGTATACAAAGCTAGTGAAGAAATCAGGTATTAATGTCCTGCTTTACGCAAGATTAGACCATTTCCGAGTTATCTTGTCCCTCTGTTTCAAAACGAGTCCTCATGCAAAATCTTTCGTATGAAAATGAGTTTGATTTGCATGAAAATGAACCTGTAGGCGGAACACATTTTCATGTGAATGGTTTCACACGAAGACTCGTTTTGACACTGAGGCAAAAGGCGATTCGGAAATGGCCATGTATTTCGTCAAGTGGCATCATAGGTCTGCAATGCGCGCACAGAACTAGATGCTGCAGTTACTAGAAATATCTCTCATTATTTCCCACCTGCAGAGATGAAGACTGTCCCGTGGATAGGTGGCTCTGCCAGGAAAATGAAGATGCTTGACCATTGGTAAGACCTGGTCAAAATGGAAATGCACAACAAATTTGTTTACATTCTTAGGACCAGTTGTAACTGTCTACATTACAGAGCTGTCCACCTTACTTAAGTGTCTATATGGCCAACAGGGTTTTCAGGGGTTTTGGTATCTCTATGACATGTAAAAATGTATTCTGACAACAGCAGATTTACCAGTATGGGTACTCTTAAAATAAGGCTTACTTTTTGGTTGTCAATTTTTGGATTAAGGTCGTTACCATGGCAACATCTCATCTAATGAGAGGCAGATATATTCCTTATTTCGGCCTAAACTCCTTAACATTTATGCTTTCCTTCGGTGAAATTTTTTCATACTTTGCCAGATCATGGAAATGATATTGCCTGACATTTTGAATTGGTAAAAAGTGAAGGTTGTTCAGACGGTTTTTCCAATATTCTGTAATTGTCATTCTTCTAAATATACAAGATTAGCTCTGACAGATTTTAACAAAAATAGGGTATTTTATAGGAAGTGTATGTGGTTACAACTGAGCCAAATTTTAAAAATATTCACCAAAGGAAATGCGAGAAAATTCACTGTCAGTTTTGCTTTTTGTCCTTGTGTTGACATCATAAAAATCGAAAAACGCTGATGTTTTCTGTTGAGCACATGCAGATTACTTGCGCTTTCGTCTTATGTGCATGTGCTATCGTAAAACTATAGGGAGCCACCTTAATATTCTTGATTAAAAATACAACCTACCAAGTCCACTGACAGGTTGCGACACGTGTGATGCAGAGACTGAGGGCTGCATCAGTTCTTGGAGAGTTGAATCACCGGTCACAGGCTGATCAGTTTCACTTGGAACACCTTCCATAAGTCTACCAAGCAATCCTGATCGCATCTCTATATCTTGAGGATAAGGCCTGCGTGGATCCCCTAAAATTACAAGTAGCCCAGGGAAAATTAACCTTGAAAGAAATGTCATGTAAGAGTGAGGTTTAACAGCAGGCATTTTGAACAAAATAAGACAATCTGCATGGAAAAACGTCCTCTGGGAGAATTCTGAGAAAGCAAACCTACAATCCTAACTACCTATAAAAGATCAGTGTGCATAAAAACATAAATGACAAGAGTGGCTGAATTCCCTAAATTTCCCCATTTTGTTACAGCGAATGTTAACACTGAGGTCCCATCCACACTGCGTCAGAGAAATTTGAAAACGGCATTTTCACTCTGAAAATGCACCAAATATTTTACATCCTCACTATGCTGGAGAAATTTGACAATGCAACACTCACTGGTCATTTTGGATTATTTTGTTTTTGAACAAAACTCTGGCAGCAAAATCACGATTGTCATGATGACATTGCTTTTGAAAAGCTCCGTTGTCAAAATGTTTGCCGTCCACACTAAAACGCAAAGCTGGCATTTTCAAATTCATCCAGTTTGAAGAGAGTTTTTGAAAAGCTCTTTTTTTTTTTTGACGGATTAGTGTGACCAGTAGGCCTCACTGTGGAAATAAAGCTGCATTTTGTAGTGTGGACGGGGCCTGAAGAAGGTTAAGAGAATTTGATCTTCAGGAACAAACCTGGCATCCATGATACTGGTGCTTCAACAGCATTACTGCTACTGATTCGATGAGCATACTTGATCAGGTCTTCAGAGGAAACCATTCCTTGTTAAAATAAAACAAGTGGGTTAGAAACCCAGTCATAAATAGAGGGAGAATGGGTCAAATCTTCAAATTTGAGATAAACATCATTTTATAACTTTGACTTGAGGTCGTTTGGCAAATTTAATGTGGAATGGTTGTTTGGGTCAAGGGAGAGGGTGTGGAGATCTTGTAGATGTTAATGACAGCATCATCAACACCTCCCTAAGCCTTAAGAACTCAATATTTGAAATAATAACTTTCTACTTACCCTTGTCAGCCTGGTTTATAGCAGACAACTTTTTCTTTGCTTGGAACAATGCTTGAGACTAAAACAAATGAAAAAAAATGCAATTGACATGGTTCTTTACAGCAGTCTTTTTATGTGATGCATGTTCAAACTCAAAAAACAAACACCATGTGGACTTAGAAAGCGTCTCCATAGGAGTGTCTACAATATGTGGGTCCATAAACCCTGTCTTTATGTACATTATACTGAGAAATATGTATCTGGCGCAGGGTTGTAGCCTTATGCTCCACTCACAGAAGCAAAGAGGATGAGTGAGTGAGTGAGCGAGTGATATGGAGCAGGGTTTGCTTTACTCATAAAATTACCAAACATGCCTCAACATAAGGAGACTTGCAATGATAACAATACAGGTGTCTTTGCAAAAGAGTCTCAGTCAGGTACTTGAATAATGACAACCTTTATCTTAACAAGTCTTTTACTTCATCATTCTACAACTTCCACTAACTCTTGACAGTTAAAAGATGATTATTTTCCAGTCTATACTGCACAGTCTCAACACCAAAATGTTTTTAAGTCTCACTCAATGGAATGCAAATCCATGTTATTTGTGTTAACAACCTCTTACCTTATCTTTGAGGCATTTTAAATTCTTTTCACATTTGAAGTTGTTTCCTCAAGTGACGTCAGAAAGAATGAAGCATTAAGCTTTGCATCCATAATGGATATAGACATGAAACTAATTGCATAATGTTACATTTTGTGACATCTTACATGAATCAAAACAAAAAACATAAACAAACTCTTGAGTGCGTAGTATGGACTGGAAATCATCTTTAAATCATCATGGCACCTTTTATTCAGACTTACCAGTAACTTTTCTGCTTCCTTTAACTGGGATTCCAGACTAAGGATCTCTTGATCTTTCTTCAAAATTTCCTCTTTCACTGTTTGGATTTCTTGCTGTCTTGCTTGCTGTTCCTGTACTTGTTTAATGGCTACTTGAAGTTCTTTATCCTTTGCAATAAGCTGATCAACAGCCTATACATAAAAAAAAAATCCTGTCACTGATTTTGATTTAAGTCTTGGGCTTGAGCTTATTATAAGGAGTGTCTGGAAAATCTGATTAGCGAATAGCGAATAGTGAATGGTCCTGAATAGTGCGAATAGTCTCGAATAGTGCGAATAGTGGCGAACAGTCGCAAAAAGTGGCGAATAGTGGCAAATAGTCGTCAATAGTCACCGCTTTAGATCTAATATAAATCGTTAATTAATTATCCAAATCAGCAACAGAATTTCAGTGAATTTATTACCTTTTCTTCTCTGGACTCGGGCTAGTAGGCTGTCCATCGCCAGCATTAAGAAAACAGAAAACACAAGGATAACCTAATAAAGACGTATTTACGCTTTCGCAGTGGTTAAAACAGAAGAAATTACGTTTAGAAACACCTTTTGTCCTGATAAGCGTCTGTGCTTTTTAGCGGAAAAATCCCATCCTGAGTTGCTACGAGGTTGACTGCGAGATACTGGGTACCCTATTTGTTACTATTTGCCACTATTTACCACTATTTGCCACTATTCGCCTCTATTTGCCACTATTCGCCACTATTTGAGACTGTTCGCCACTATTCGCCCTATTCGTACTATTCGCTATTCGCTATTCGGGACTATTCGCTGTTCGCTATTCGCGACTATTCGCTATTCGCTATTCGGGTTTTCCAGACACCCTATTATAAGTTTATTTTTATTTTGTATATAGTCTCAATCAAGACAAAGTCAAAGTTTACCTTTGCTGTATCTCCAGAGCTAGCATCTTGTTTTGTTGTCCGATACAATGAGACTGCTGATAGACTCTCGAATAATTCTCTAGAAACAGGAGAGAAACTCCATTCTTACAACAAACTAGCAAATAATTTTCAGTGAAAGTAGGTCATTGCACTGTCAGGATTAACCATCTTAATCTCAGAACAAAGTCACACCTTGCAAAACAAAACAGAGCTAAAAACAGAAATAATAACATACTTGGTTAATTTTTCATAGTCATCCAGTATGTCATTTATAACATCTTTAGTGCTTCTTTCTGATGAAAACGCTTCCGCCATTTTATTTTTGTGGAAAATTGCAATGCAACATGGGATTGTCTTCTATGCTCACCAGTCAGCGGTCTCTCCCAGTGCAGCTGAACAAAATGGCGGACAAAACAGACAATGAACAGAGCGAGGGGAATTTGCCAGCGAAAAGCACTCCTAAAGATGCTTTAGTCATGGGAGCTATTTTAAAAGAGATGGGAATCAGTGACTATGAGCCGAGAGTTATCAACCAAATGCTGGAATACACTTACCGTGAGTTTTCAAAAGTCCTTCAGATATTTGATAACTTGGATTGCAATAACAAATCAGTTTCCTGGGTCTTTTATGACTTTTGTTTTCGTCTTAAGACACAGTTTTACGTCGCTTTTTCAACCTAGTAATAGATTGGAGACTCTGTATCAGCAGATTTCATAGTTTACGTCTAATAATTGCTATTGGGTGAAACTTTTTTGCTTAAATTTTTAAGCTTAATTTTCATGGACATCAAGCTCAACTTAAAAGACTTAAAATTGAAACCTTGTAAACAAGGTTCGTGAAGATACAATCTGTCTGTTTACTGCAGGTTATATTACCACTGTACTGGAGGATGCAACAGTTTACTCCAAACATGCTGGCAAGAAAGAACTTGACGCAGATGATGTGCAGTTAGCCATACAGTCAAGACTGGACCACTCCTATACAAATCCACCTCCGAGAGAGGTAAGTCATTATGATATCCATTTGTTGCTTAATTTGAGTAAATAACATACACATGCTAACATAGGGCATGTCATACCATGATAGCCAGAATGCATTAAATCTGTGTACATCGCACACTGAGGGTGTTCACCACAGTTTTAAAGATGGGCCATTCCATTCCGTAACCGCAACCCCCCCCCCTCCCCCTGCCTTATCGAGGATCTTTTGCTCTTACCCCCTCAGAAAAGTAAACATTTTACCTCCCAAGATAGGAAAGTTAAAGTGCCAACACACTTCCCCCTTTGGAATTTATTAAAAGATCAACTAGGCCCCTTCACATTTGCTCCCTCAGAAACAGCCTTTAAAGAGACTGTTTCCTCGCCCTCAGTTAGACCCTCACTAGGGGGGTGCAGATAAAAAATGGAATGGTTCAATTCTATGCCAAAGTAGGTCATCAGCACACAAGTTTACAGACTACAATCCTATGCTATTACACTGAATGTCTTTGAAACCCATGCCAACCCTCTCTCTTGTGTTAACTTGCAAACCCTCCTATATGACATTCTTCAAAGCATTTGATGTTTTGTGTTTTAGCATCTATCTAAGTCTTTGCAAATGTCATTTTAGTCTCATATAATGACATTTTTGTCCAAATTTTCTTTCTCTTGCTAGTTTCTCATTGAGATTGCTCGCCAGAAGAATCGACACCCTCTACCTCAGATCCAGACAAAGAGTGGTTTACGGTTGCCACCTGACAGATACTGTCTGACCTCCACCAACTACAAAGTCAAGACACAGAAAAAGGTGATGTATGCAAAAGTTTGCAAAAGCCTCAGAAGCTTAGTTGTCGTAACAGTCCTGATACTTTGTTATGTGAAGTAAAACTCTATGAAGAGCATGGGAAAGAACATGCCAATAAGAAACTTTTGTTTACAGATAGAACATCATCACTCCTGTTTGCAAAAGCTTGGAAATTATATTCTTATGCTAAAAGGAAATCTTTCCATTAAACTATGCCAGCTTGGCTCTTTTTTTCTTGAGTAGTGCCACTTGGCCTTTGGAAAGCAAGCCTGGCCTTTGGCTCAACCCCATTATTGCGTTGCTTTGTATTAGTAATGCTGTTAACATAAGTAACTCTTGTTGAATCAACAGCATTCTCAAGTTCGTTCCAACCCAGTGGTAGCAAGAACAATCTCCCAGTCTTCAGTATCAACGCCTGTCAAAGCCACTCCAACTACTATTATAACTGTCAAAATGCCGGTAACTGCCCCAGTAACAGCATCTGCAGGAGCTGCAGCAAATGCTGCTGCTGTGCCAACTTCTAAAGTTGTGGGTAGTGTGACTGTTAAACAGGAGCCAATAGGGATTGCTGCTACTCACACAGTACAGAAACCTGGAGTGGCAACAACAACAGCAAAAACAATACAGGTGGGATCCCTGTTTTTACATATTTCAATCATCAATTGACCATTCATTATTTGGTGGCATGAAACAAACGCTGGAAATCCATCTGTGTTCACAGGCTATGGCATTAGGGAATCATCATAAAAGTACATGCTATTCATGATCTTGATATTCTATCAGAAAATTTTGTCAAGATTCAACATGACTTGTAGTCAGTAACTTACTGTCGTATCTCTAAGTTTAAAGGCAAAGATTTACTTAGCTTTGTAACAGTTCCAATGAAATACACTTTTTGCTTGAAGAAGCAGAGAAAACTTAAGATCTTCAATTCAAATTTTTTACTGTCAAATATTACAGAGTTAATATTGGTATACTTGTGCATTGAAATAATGTATTCATTTTGGCAACAATATGATGGCAATCCCAACCAAAGAACCAATGCTGTCTGCGGGACATTGATGGTTAAACGTTGATTTCAGGTGTTTGTCAGCAGGCTTAGGAGTCTTCATGATACATGGGAATTTGCTTCTTTCAAGTTGCTGTGTACTGAAATCTACACTTGAGTTAATTATCTCGAGTTCAGTTAAACCCTCATGGCAAGCACCTGTCCCAGCTATCAGTGCATGCATCAGAGTGACTTGAAATTAACATGCCTTGACTGATAACTTATTCCATTCACCAGATAAAAAGTGAACCTGGAACAACTCCCATTAAAAGTCAGCCCAAAACAGGAGCCACGGCATCTCAAGTCACAGGTATCCCAGCTTCAATGCTCACAGTATCAGCTCTTCCAAGCATGGATGAGACTGTCGCCAGCACTCAGCAGCCATTAATCACACCAATCAAACGAAAGCACGAGGATGAAGATGATGATTATGACTCATAGTTTTTTTAATCTGTACACAAAAAAATTTCATTGATCTTTTTGTAACACTAGTAAGATGTCTCTGCTGCAAGATTAAGTGAAAAGTAGCACTTCTAGTTGTCAAGAGTGCAAAGTTTTTCCCTGAAGATAAAAGGGTATGATGCACAAAATTTATAGCAGGAAGTGCAATTGAGACACTACATTTCATCCAACAAATATGGACTGATTTCCAGTCTACTAGTTGTGTGGTCATGTACTATATTGTGGATTGTGTATTGTGGATTTTAAGGTGCGAATAATCTTTGTTCAATTCAAAATAAGTTTGTAGAGATTTCAGACCTATTTTTACAAATTAAAAAAATCCCAGACCTGAGACATGTTTTAGTCACGACTGACTTTATGAACCATTGTCCAACAGTTTAGAAATTAACTAAATGTACCATCAGAAGAGAGAACCAGTTTGCACAACCTTTGACTCTGGCCAAGTTAATGAGTTTTCTCATATCCAAAAGACTACAGTGTTATGACTCTTGCAAAAAAGAGAGACTAGGATAATTTTCCATTAATTTTAATCTTATGTAGTTGTTCCACTTTCCAAAAGGCAGAATAGTTATAGTCACTTGTGAAATGTAAAAAGGTTGATAGTCTTGTTTAAAAGCTGGGCCAACAGTTAGTAGTTTTATAACATCAGATGCATCATGCAAATTATGAAACTGATACACAACTATACTTGTTTCATTAATTAGCTACCACTGAGCAAATTTCCAGTAAAATCTTTATTTATCCATGGAATCCTCTTTTATATGAGTTACATTCTCTCCTTCAAAGTTACGCATCAAAGGTGATACAAAGTTTGCAAACTCATTAATCATAGATCAAGTTAAAACTCAGGAGTTCATAACCGTGACAGTGTTTGTGAATCCTATTAGTTTTGATTGAGAAGATGTGTCAGATTTCATTAGATTTTTTACGTTCATCAAGAATACTCCACCAGCATGTTACAAGTAGTTTTCTTGGTATTTAAAAAATGTGGTGAATTATTGTCTATTGCAAATGATACATCACTTCTGAACAAGTATACAATGTAGCTATCTTACAAAGTTTACATTAAATGTATTCATAATGAACTGTGTATCCATAGTATTTCTTCCATAGTATTTGCCATAACAAGGATCTCCATAATCTAAAGATAACCTTGTGTGGTGGGTGAAAAATGGTGAACATGCCTATGGGCAAAAAGCAAAAACAAATGTCTGTGCTGTTCTCTTCCAATATCTCAACTCCTACAGAGTACAACAAACGACACTTGCACAATAAAATACACCTTGAATGATCATATGTAATTCCACTCAAGCAGTAATTCCCAAACTGTGCTATACAAGAATTGTGTTCACTTATGCAACATTAAAACTTTTTAACTTTTTTTTTATCTGGAAATAGTCCAAACATTGTCCCTTCCTTTGTGTCTCTGGTAGAATCATTTGAATGTGTTCCCCTTAATGATGCACCTTCAACCTTGAGAGTTCTTTTGCAATTATCCTCAAAAGTAGCATTTAGATTAGTATTGTATTTGCATAATTTAACCTGGAATTTAGCCCTGTGATACATCTGAAACACAATCTGTTATCTATATGTAAAGTATCTAAAAGTTGACAGTGAAGTGAAGAGACAACACCTGATTGAAGAGACAACATCTTAGTTCAGAGTTCAAATTGTTTCATTATCAATCAGTGCAAATCCAAACATTAACCAGCAATGATTTTGCTAACACCAGTCTTTCAATGTCTATTTCTCCTTGCAATGTATGTGCAATGGCAAAGGGTACATGGAAAAATGTTTGGAGATTATTTGGTCTGATATAGTTTATATTCCCTGGTGTGGAGTTGGGTATGGCATAGCACAGTCAATTTGTAAACTGACAACCTAGCATTTTTAACCTAATAGTTATTTTGGGTTGCCAGCACCCTTGTTTTTCAAAGTTGTATCTATATAATATAATAACATAAACAGCAATAAAGAGGAATTTGTTGTCAGTGTTGATGTTTTTCAGAAGGATAGAAACTACATGTATCTCTTGTTTTGATCTCAAAATTATAGGGTACAGGTTTCAAGAAGCATGCCCTACAGCCCATTTTTGGGAGTAGTCACTGCTGTGATCAACTCTGCTCTCCTCACAATTTGATAATTTTTAAATAACCACAATTAGCTCTCTGATTTAGTCACATGATCCAAAGGTCACAACTGTGGACTTAAAGTTCTTGCTTTCTGCAAGCCACTCTCCTGTCCTAGTCATACTGATACTCTTCAATCCTTTTCAGCTGCCTTGTTCTTGAGCGCTTGGCATTCTCAGCTGCCACTGCGCGTGCAGTGCTCGTTGTTAAAAAATTCCCAGGCTTGAATTCACTGCTCACTGGAACATCAGGAGGAGGGGACTGACCCTCTGTGACGACAAGACGTGCTTCTTCAACCTTCTGAGAAATTGAATTTTTTATGACTGGCGTCAACTGTAGTAGAGAAAGATAACCAGTGATTTGAGCCAGACGCATAACTGAAACTGAATCATCAGTGCTTCTCATGTGCTCTACAGACTCCACAAATAGACGGCGTCTCAAGCGCTCTGATGCCAGAGGACAGATGTTGTCAATAGCTTCAGCGTATTCAATATCTGTCATAAATCCAGGCTTCCTTCCTGGTTGCTGAAGAAGCTTCACTTCCATTTCTTGAAAGCGAGGCTCTCTGTACTTCAGAATGATGTACAGAAAATACTCTGAAACCAGTTCCTTGGAGATCTTGTTCTCACTGAAAGAGGTGTAACCCATAGAAAACTGCTCAATATCTTCCTCATTCATGAAGGGAAACACGACATGAGCAAAGCTCCTGATGTCTTTAACTGCCAGCCACTCAACCAGATCAATGAACTCATTGACCAGAAGGACATAACGGATGACAACAGGATCTAGGTTACCACACATTGCTTGAGCAAACAACTGAATAGTCTTGCTACTTGGTGCAAACGTAATTACGCTTGAAACAAAGTCATACACAGCCAGGTATGTGACATCTGAAACCAAATACCTCTCGTGGAAGAAGGAGTACAATGTATCCACCACAGAAACAATCTGTTCATCTTCCACTGCATAATCATCTTGCCAAATGAGTGAAGCGTAAAACTGTTCAATGATGGAAGACACACGATCCACAGAAAGAGACCTGGGAATCTGTCTTTGAATTGAAGTACGAGAATAGTAGTCATCCCAAAGGGACTTGTATGACATGGTAAGGTGCTGCTGTGCTTTTATGATTGACTCATCTCCATATCCCAGAGTGCTGTTGGTTTTTGCTGACAAAGTTCGCACACTGTCAGGGGTTTCTGCAACAAGAACGGGAGGTTTTTCATCTCGTGATATGTGCACTGTTGGTCTGATAATTTTTATGTGCGTGCAGTTATGGGGCAATGAAACAACCTTATGATCTGTAACTTTGTGTGGGCATAGTAATGTTGTTTCACCACAGCTAGCACAAAACTTGGCATCTTTAAACTCATGGTAGTTCTTTCCTTGGTTGCATGAGTAATACAACATTGCTGAATACTTGCTCAGGATTCTCTCGTGTGCAATGAATGGATCTTGATTATGTGCACTGTTCATAATCTTTACAAAATCAATCTCTTCATCATCTTCTTCTGGCTGTTTTGGTTTCTTCTCTTTCTCTGCTTGCACAGCAAACATGTTTTTCTTTCTTTCTGGTTTATCGTTGGTCTCTCTTTCTGTTCTTTTAGCTTCTTCCTCAAGTTCAGCCAACTGATCTTCAAGACTGGACCTCTGAATTTCAATTAGCTGAAATTCATTTTCAATATCAGCAATGTTTTGCTTGAACCTCTGTTTAACTTTGTGCAAATCTTCTTCTAGTTTCACCCTCATCTCGTGTTCATCATCTGGGGTCACTCGAAAGTTACTCCCACTGCTTTTCAAATCAACTTCACTTGTGGGCGAAGCCTTGTTCTCTTCCAAGAATAGTTCGAATTCCTCAATAATTGCATTTTGCATGGTGAGGAGCTGCTCTTCTAAAAGCTTAGCCGAAGCAATCTCCTGAACAATCTGAGCCCTCCTCGTCGAAACAGCCGGCTTAAGGGGCTTCTTTTCAAACACTGTTGAATCATTAAAAGCTTCTTCAAGAGCATCATAACCCTCTTTAAACTTTTCAAGAAACTTATTTCTTTCCTTCGCTTGAGTGAGCTCTTCTTTAAGACTGGCAATGCGTTTTTCGTACCTGTCTTTAGCGGCCTGTTGCATCATCTGCTCGTACTGAATGTTAGCTTCAAGTTTTCTCTGTTCCAAAGAGTTGTTTTCCATTTCGATCTCCATGTTGTAAATCTTATCGCTGCAATCTTTGAGCGACTTCTTAAGCTGTTCAATGTTCTGATTGCTTTCGTTGAGTTGTTTATCTTTCTCGGCAAGTTTTCCTTCCAGTGCGGCGATGTCTGCTTGCAGTTGGTCCGCATTTTTGTCACGTTCTTCAAAAACTCGATTAACAAGAACAAAATACGGGAGACGCTGAATATAAGACGTTTTGTTTTTCCCTTTCTTCGGTGGAATAGTGGTATATTCATTACTATATACAGCCTCGTATATTTCATCTCGCAGCATCTTCAAAACTTTCTTATAAACTCCCAAATCTGGAATGATTTCATCGAATACATGAAAGCAAGTGGTCATTCGCTCTTCGCTGAGACCTTTCATTGGCGTGTCCTCGACAAGAAGGACTTCATACCTCGTAGCAGGAGAGCGAGAAGACAAAGCTCTTCTTTCAGAACCCATAACCCGTCAGGAATGCTGTCGAAATGGCTCAAAATTTACCAGAGTAACGTAACAACGGTTGAGTACTCAAGCCGCCATGTTTCTTGTTGCTATGAACGAAAACCCAGAGGAACTGGAAACTAGCGAATCGCTGACCGACTAAAGATTGTGTTTGTGGGCTTAATCTTTCTCTTCGGGTCGACATTTCTCGGCTTCTGGCTACAGAGTGAGTGTAAAATGAAATCCCTTTCCATCGTTGCACCAATCGCTTCTTTTCCACCTTTGACAGGAGAAAAGTATCATTTATAAAATACTTCTATCCTGTGTGTACTCTATTATAGGAAAACGTACGATTTCATGTCATTTTTAACTCTTCATTTATTCTCCAACATGGCTGCCACACTAATTGCTATTCTGTTTGCTTCAGGTAACTAGAAGATTAAAATGTCCCAACCAACACGGTAAGTTTATCTAAACATAAGTTTTAATCATGCTAAAGGTTTTATACGCCTCGCTATTTTGATACCACTATACTTAATGTAAGCTTATGTTAGTTTAATGGCTTTGCCATATGAACTCAAGCAGGATTTGTTGTTGTTTTATTTTATGCAGAATATTTATGTATTAGAACTCATAGTAAATGAATTTTGAATTGAATAAATTGCAAGTGAAAACCATATTCTCCGAGAAGCGTCCAAAACCTGGCCGAATTTCAATCATTTTGCTTCTTTGTGAGATCGCTCCCAGTAAGTTCACTCCCGCTAATAGTTAGATCACACACAAAGTGACTTCACTCTGTGTAGCAAATTACAAAAATATGTTGAATGTGTCAGTTCAGATGAATTATGGTCATTTTGCCAAAGCTTGAAAAACAATAGTGTTTTCACTGTCTGTAGTGCAGTTACAGGTGAACCTTTCAACAACTGCCACCTTGGGGACAAAGGAAAGTGGCTGTTGTGGGAAGGTAGAGGTGTAATTTGACAGCTGTTTTCTTTTTTTTTTTTATTCAGGGTACAACTTTTTTTTGTCAAAAAATGTTTATTTAGCATATATAAATCAAAATGTATCAATAAAACAGAAACTTAGCAGAAATAGAGCCTAATGACTCACAATACAGATCAAGTCCGGTGACTTTTTACAATAACAAAAAGTGATGTTTTGTATACACCATTCATCAGTCACTGATTAACTGGCTGTTTCCAAGAGATTATTTTTGCTATTGGGTCAGGTTTTTGTGGCCATTGCCATTGTGGTTGTTGTACAGAGGTTGAAATAAGAGTGCATGTATGGACTGTCTGGGACCAAAAAAAGTGGCCATTGAAGAGAGGTGGCCATTAGTGGAGGTTCAACTGTTCTTTTGTATTGAGCAAAGCTACTTGTTAGAGGTAATTTAACATTTTGGGAGCAGACATCTGGGCAGTGATCTTACTGTTGAGTGACATGACCAGACAACCATCTGGATAGTCCATCTACAATGAAAGTGGACAATAGCTCTTTGCCAGAAATGGTACAAACCCTATTGTTGTCAAAGTTGGTTGCTTTTGGGTTTTGTCGGTTCTTTTTTAAGCTTTTTTAGTTTTAACTGATAATCAGAATTTGGTTATTTTCAGCTTGTATACAAAAGGCATTGTCCTTGGCTACAAGAGAGGTTTGCGGAATCAGCAACCTAACACTTCCCTGATAAGGCTTGAAGGAGTCAGCGACAAGAAAGAAACTGACTTCTACCTTGGCAAACGTGTTGCATTTGTTTACCGTGCCAAGAGAAAGACGGTAGCCAAAGGAGACAAGAAAGCAAGCAAACTCCGAGTGATGTGGGGAAAGATTACCAGACCTCATGGAAACAGTGGTGTGGTGCGAGCTAGATTCAGGCACAACCTTCCACCAAAAGCTATGGGCGCTACTGTCAGAGTGGTATGTTATTTTATGGCAACAATTCTATTTGTTAACTACATGAGAGTTAGAGATATTGTAATAATTACTTCTCCATTTCTGAGCTATGATGAAAAACATTTTCCATTGTCTTGAAATGCTGTAATGCATTATAGCATTTTTGATCTTTAACTACACTTGAGCAGAGCTCAGAAAATTTAACTAACCAAAATGTAGTTTTATGTAGTTTTGTCTTATTTTTACTTTGACGTGAAGGAGATCCATTTGGTTCAAATCTCATAATTTCGAGAAACATTGCAACAAGAAAACTGTTTTTTTGTGACATTTGAAATATTATTAATTATAATTTAACATTTTCTTTCTGTTTGCAGATGCTGTACCCTTCGAGGATTTAATCTGAATTCTTGCACTGTGTAGTTGTACAAATAAAATGCTCTCTTCATAGCATATTCCAGTTGTTGGGTTTGTTTTTAGTATTCAACTGTATCACATTTTGTATTCTTATTGTGGAGAGCTGCATCTGACCTGGTGTTGCCTATATTTTTGCTGCTTTTATTTTCAACCTTTTCAAAGAAGGCATGTATGTATGTGATCTCGATCACCTTTTTGCTTTTATAAGCTTCCCTCAAATCTTCGTTATTCAAGACTTTCCCAGGGTTTCCATCAAAGTTTTCAACAGGAGGGCTACTGGTTTTCACAGGAGAACAGAATTTTTGGAACTGAACTTCTTTATAAGAGATATTTCCTCTAGAAGGTCAAACCAGGCTGGCAAAATCATTCCCACAGCTGGTCCATATTCCGGGTGCCCGGCCCTTGAATGAAACCCCATGCTTTCCAAAATGATGTAAACTAAGTTCAAACTTTGATCATCAGTTTCTTTTTAATTGATTAAGAAATGAAGAAAGAATGAAAAGCCACAGTTATTTTCAAACTATTCAATTTGAGTAACTGTAATTACAAATTTAGACTTCTGAAAGTCTGATGTGGTTATATTTAACCCAGGTGTGTTCCCCTTCTTCACGTTCTCAGTATCATCACAAAAGAAGTATCCGTCAATTAGCCTCCATATCAAGCTTACGGGAGTTCCAAAAACTAGAAACCCCAGGAGAAATTATGACGTCAAATCTACGAAACTTACGTCACAAATGTAATACATAATTGCAGTCTAATAATCAATTCACATGATGGAATTCCGCGCGCCAAAATCAAGAATGTTATACCGCATTCCCGCCATGTAGGTTTTACCAAGAAAATCCCTCTTCTGGATCGGAAGGGATTTTGTGCCATGATTCGCAACATTCCAGCAGAGTATTAGTGTTTTTTGAGTTGTGAAAAGCCTAGCTAGTTGCTGATCATGGCGCGAAGATACGACTTTGCCATACAAAAGCACGGTAGGCGAAAGAAAGCCAAGGCTCCGGTCAAAGTANGTTGATGTTTTTCAGAAGGATAGAAACTACATGTATCTCTTGTTTTGATCTCAAAATTATAGGGTACAGGTTTCAAGAAGCATGCCCTACAGCCCATTTTTGGGAGTAGTCACTGCTGTGATCAACTCTGCTCTCCTCACAATTTGATAATTTTTAAATAACCACAATTAGCTCTCTGATTTAGTCACATGATCCAAAGGTCACAACTGTGGACTTAAAGTTCTTGCTTTCTGCAAGCCACTCTCCTGTCCTAGTCATACTGATACTCTTCAATCCTTTTCAGCTGCCTTGTTCTTGAGCGCTTGGCATTCTCAGCTGCCACTGCGCGTGCAGTGCTCGTTGTTAAAAAATTCCCAGGCTTGAATTCACTGCTCACTGGAACATCAGGAGGAGGGGACTGACCCTCTGTGACGACAAGACGTGCTTCTTCAACCTTCTGAGAAATTGAATTTTTTATGACTGGCGTCAACTGTAGTAGAGAAAGATAACCAGTGATTTGAGCCAGACGCATAACTGAAACTGAATCATCAGTGCTTCTCATGTGCTCTACAGACTCCACAAATAGACGGCGTCTCAAGCGCTCTGATGCCAGAGGACAGATGTTGTCAATAGCTTCAGCGTATTCAATATCTGTCATAAATCCAGGCTTCCTTCCTGGTTGCTGAAGAAGCTTCACTTCCATTTCTTGAAAGCGAGGCTCTCTGTACTTCAGAATGATGTACAGAAAATACTCTGAAACCAGTTCCTTGGAGATCTTGTTCTCACTGAAAGAGGTGTAACCCATAGAAAACTGCTCAATATCTTCCTCATTCATGAAGGGAAACACGACATGAGCAAAGCTCCTGATGTCTTTAACTGCCAGCCACTCAACCAGATCAATGAACTCATTGACCAGAAGGACATAACGGATGACAACAGGATCTAGGTTACCACACATTGCTTGAGCAAACAACTGAATAGTCTTGCTACTTGGTGCAAACGTAATTACGCTTGAAACAAAGTCATACACAGCCAGGTATGTGACATCTGAAACCAAATACCTCTCGTGGAAGAAGGAGTACAATGTATCCACCACAGAAACAATCTGTTCATCTTCCACTGCATAATCATCTTGCCAAATGAGTGAAGCGTAAAACTGTTCAATGATGGAAGACACACGATCCACAGAAAGAGACCTGGGAATCTGTCTTTGAATTGAAGTACGAGAATAGTAGTCATCCCAAAGGGACTTGTATGACATGGTAAGGTGCTGCTGTGCTTTTATGATTGACTCATCTCCATATCCCAGAGTGCTGTTGGTTTTTGCTGACAAAGTTCGCACACTGTCAGGGGTTTCTGCAACAAGAACGGGAGGTTTTTCATCTCGTGATATGTGCACTGTTGGTCTGATAATTTTTATGTGCGTGCAGTTATGGGGCAATGAAACAACCTTATGATCTGTAACTTTGTGTGGGCATAGTAATGTTGTTTCACCACAGCTAGCACAAAACTTGGCATCTTTAAACTCATGGTAGTTCTTTCCTTGGTTGCATGAGTAATACAACATTGCTGAATACTTGCTCAGGATTCTCTCGTGTGCAATGAATGGATCTTGATTATGTGCACTGTTCATAATCTTTACAAAATCAATCTCTTCATCATCTTCTTCTGGCTGTTTTGGTTTCTTCTCTTTCTCTGCTTGCACAGCAAACATGTTTTTCTTTCTTTCTGGTTTATCGTTGGTCTCTCTTTCTGTTCTTTTAGCTTCTTCCTCAAGTTCAGCCAACTGATCTTCAAGACTGGACCTCTGAATTTCAATTAGCTGAAATTCATTTTCAATATCAGCAATGTTTTGCTTGAACCTCTGTTTAACTTTGTGCAAATCTTCTTCTAGTTTCACCCTCATCTCGTGTTCATCATCTGGGGTCACTCGAAAGTTACTCCCACTGCTTTTCAAATCAACTTCACTTGTGGGCGAAGCCTTGTTCTCTTCCAAGAATAGTTCGAATTCCTCAATAATTGCATTTTGCATGGTGAGGAGCTGCTCTTCTAAAAGCTTAGCCGAAGCAATCTCCTGAACAATCTGAGCCCTCCTCGTCGAAACAGCCGGCTTAAGGGGCTTCTTTTCAAACACTGTTGAATCATTAAAAGCTTCTTCAAGAGCATCATAACCCTCTTTAAACTTTTCAAGAAACTTATTTCTTTCCTTCGCTTGAGTGAGCTCTTCTTTAAGACTGGCAATGCGTTTTTCGTACCTGTCTTTAGCGGCCTGTTGCATCATCTGCTCGTACTGAATGTTAGCTTCAAGTTTTCTCTGTTCCAAAGAGTTGTTTTCCATTTCGATCTCCATGTTGTAAATCTTATCGCTGCAATCTTTGAGCGACTTCTTAAGCTGTTCAATGTTCTGATTGCTTTCGTTGAGTTGTTTATCTTTCTCGGCAAGTTTTCCTTCCAGTGCGGCGATGTCTGCTTGCAGTTGGTCCGCATTTTTGTCACGTTCTTCAAAAACTCGATTAACAAGAACAAAATACGGGAGACGCTGAATATAAGACGTTTTGTTTTTCCCTTTCTTCGGTGGAATAGTGGTATATTCATTACTATATACAGCCTCGTATATTTCATCTCGCAGCATCTTCAAAACTTTCTTATAAACTCCCAAATCTGGAATGATTTCATCGAATACATGAAAGCAAGTGGTCATTCGCTCTTCGCTGAGACCTTTCATTGGCGTGTCCTCGACAAGAAGGACTTCATACCTCGTAGCAGGAGAGCGAGAAGACAAAGCTCTTCTTTCAGAACCCATAACCCGTCAGGAATGCTGTCGAAATGGCTCAAAATTTACCAGAGTAACGTAACAACGGTTGAGTACTCAAGCCGCCATGTTTCTTGTTGCTATGAACGAAAACCCAGAGGAACTGGAAACTAGCGAATCGCTGACCGACTAAAGATTGTGTTTGTGGGCTTAATCTTTCTCTTCGGGTCGACATTTCTCGGCTTCTGGCTACAGAGTGAGTGTAAAATGAAATCCCTTTCCATCGTTGCACCAATCGCTTCTTTTCCACCTTTGACAGGAGAAAAGTATCATTTATAAAATACTTCTATCCTGTGTGTACTCTATTATAGGAAAACGTACGATTTCATGTCATTTTTAACTCTTCATTTATTCTCCAACATGGCTGCCACACTAATTGCTATTCTGTTTGCTTCAGGTAACTAGAAGATTAAAATGTCCCAACCAACACGGTAAGTTTATCTAAACATAAGTTTTAATCATGCTAAAGGTTTTATACGCCTCGCTATTTTGATACCACTATACTTAATGTAAGCTTATGTTAGTTTAATGGCTTTGCCACATGAACTCAAGCAGGATTTGTTGTTGTTTTATTTTATGCAGAATATTTATGTATTAGAACTCATAGTAAATGAATTTTGAATTGAATAAATTGCAAGTGAAAACCATATTCTCCGAGAAGCGTCCAAAACCTGGCCGAATTTCAATCATTTTGCTTCTTTGTGAGATCGCTCCCAGTAAGTTCACTCCCGCTAATAGTTAGATCACACACAAAGTGACTTCACTCTGTGTAGCAAATTACAAAAATATGTTGAATGTGTCAGTTCAGATGAATTATGGTCATTTTGCCAAAGCTTGAAAAACAATAGTGTTTTCACTGTCTGTAGTGCAGTTACAGGTGAACCTTTCAACAACTGCCACCTTGGGGACAAAGGAAAGTGGCTGTTGTGGGAAGGTAGAGGTGTAATTTGACAGCTGTTTTCTTTTTTTTTTTTATTCAGGGTACAACTTTTTTTTGTCAAAAAATGTTTATTTAGCATATATAAATCAAAATGTATCAATAAAACAGAAACTTAGCAGAAATAGAGCCTAATGACTCACAATACAGATCAAGTCCGGTGACTTTTTACAATAACAAAAAGTGATGTTTTGTATACACCATTCATCAGTCACTGATTAACTGGCTGTTTCCAAGAGATTATTTTTGCTATTGGGTCAGGTTTTTGTGGCCATTGCCATTGTGGTTGTTGTACAGAGGTTGAAATAAGAGTGCATGTATGGACTGTCTGGGACCAAAAAAAGTGGCCATTGAAGAGAGGTGGCCATTAGTGGAGGTTCAACTGTTCTTTTGTATTGAGCAAAGCTACTTGTTAGAGGTAATTTAACATTTTGGGAGCAGACATCTGGGCAGTGATCTTACTGTTGAGTGACATGACCAGACAACCATCTGGATAGTCCATCTACAATGAAAGTGGACAATAGCTCTTTGCCAGAAATGGTACAAACCCTATTGTTGTCAAAGTTGGTTGCTTTTGGGTTTTGTCGGTTCTTTTTTAAGCTTTTTTAGTTTTAACTGATAATCAGAATTTGGTTATTTTCAGCTTGTATACAAAAGGCATTGTCCTTGGCTACAAGAGAGGTTTGCGGAATCAGCAACCTAACACTTCCCTGATAAGGCTTGAAGGAGTCAGCGACAAGAAAGAAACTGACTTCTACCTTGGCAAACGTGTTGCATTTGTTTACCGTGCCAAGAGAAAGACGGTAGCCAAAGGAGACAAGAAAGCAAGCAAACTCCGAGTGATGTGGGGAAAGATTACCAGACCTCATGGAAACAGTGGTGTGGTGCGAGCTAGATTCAGGCACAACCTTCCACCAAAAGCTATGGGCGCTACTGTCAGAGTGGTATGTTATTTTATGGCAACAATTCTATTTGTTAACTACATGAGAGTTAGAGATATTGTAATAATTACTTCTCCATTTCTGAGCTATGATGAAAAACATTTTCCATTGTCTTGAAATGCTGTAATGCATTATAGCATTTTTGATCTTTAACTACACTTGAGCAGAGCTCAGAAAATTTAACTAACCAAAATGTAGTTTTATGTAGTTTTGTCTTATTTTTACTTTGACGTGAAGGAGATCCATTTGGTTCAAATCTCATAATTTCGAGAAACATTGCAACAAGAAAACTGTTTTTTTGTGACATTTGAAATATTATTAATTATAATTTAACATTTTCTTTCTGTTTGCAGATGCTGTACCCTTCGAGGATTTAATCTGAATTCTTGCACTGTGTAGTTGTACAAATAAAATGCTCTCTTCATAGCATATTCCAGTTGTTGGGTTTGTTTTTAGTATTCAACTGTATCACATTTTGTATTCTTATTGTGGAGAGCTGCATCTGACCTGGTGTTGCCTATATTTTTGCTGCTTTTATTTTCAACCTTTTCAAAGAAGGCATGTATGTATGTGATCTCGATCACCTTTTTGCTTTTATAAGCTTCCCTCAAATCTTCGTTATTCAAGACTTTCCCAGGGTTTCCATCAAAGTTTTCAACAGGAGGGCTACTGGTTTTCACAGGAGAACAGAATTTTTGGAACTGAACTTCTTTATAAGAGATATTTCCTCTAGAAGGTCAAACCAGGCTGGCAAAATCATTCCCACAGCTGGTCCATATTCCGGGTGCCCGGCCCTTGAATGAAACCCCATGCTTTCCAAAATGATGTAAACTAAGTTCAAACTTTGATCATCAGTTTCTTTTTAATTGATTAAGAAATGAAGAAAGAATGAAAAGCCACAGTTATTTTCAAACTATTCAATTTGAGTAACTGTAATTACAAATTTAGACTTCTGAAAGTCTGATGTGGTTATATTTAACCCAGGTGTGTTCCCCTTCTTCACGTTCTCAGTATCATCACAAAAGAAGTATCCGTCAATTAGCCTCCATATCAAGCTTACGGGAGTTCCAAAAACTAGAAACCCCAGGAGAAATTATGACGTCAAATCTACGAAACTTACGTCACAAATGTAATACATAATTGCAGTCTAATAATCAATTCACATGATGGAATTCCGCGCGCCAAAATCAAGAATGTTATACCGCATTCCCGCCATGTAGGTTTTACCAAGAAAATCCCTCTTCTGGATCGGAAGGGATTTTGTGCCATGATTCGCAACATTCCAGCAGAGTATTAGTGTTTTTTGAGTTGTGAAAAGCCTAGCTAGTTGCTGATCATGGCGCGAAGATACGACTTTGCCATACAAAAGCACGGTAGGCGAAAGAAAGCCAAGGCTCCGGTCAAAGTAGTAGACTTCCAGGTGGTGTCCTCGTTGAGAGACCCCAAAGAATCCGAGTATGAAACGAGCTGGAGAAGAGATCTCTTCTCAACCGGAGAAACCGATGACAAAGCTGAAGCTGTTGGTGTTGACGAGGATCTTCCATTAACTGTACATGCAGTGGGAATCGGAGAACAGAATCCTAATCAGATTGGTCAAGAATTCAGCGGCATCACTGATCGAATATCAAAGGTGAAAGAGCATACAATTGTTTCCTGGAAATACGATGTTATACTAACTTAAGTATGAATCTGCTAGCGTTCTATCACAAATGCCGTTCTCTGATTGGCCACGCTACTCACTATCTATTCTGTTGTAGATAGTGAGTAGCCTAGCAGTGTGCGGTTGTTAACAAAATGACGGCCGCTTCTTTACATTTTCGAAGTGTCTTTAAGAAGGATTCAAATAAAGTTTTGAATGACTATTAGATTTATAGTAAAACAATTAGATTATTCGCTCTTGGTTTCTATGCGTGATAGTTAACGAGGGTGTAATGCGATAGAAATCTAAAGCTCATATATCTAATTGTTGAATATTAAATTGCATGTAAAAGAGAAAAGTGTGATCTAATTCGGACTAACAGAAACTACGGCCGTGCGCGTTACTGGAAGGTGTTCTGAGTTTCTACAGTTTACACGTGTGTTTTAGCTGGAGACACAATTGCTTCGTTTTTCCGAAATTTTCGAGTCTCCCGATTTAGGCTATTGATTGTTACTTGTAAACGAGTTTATCACGTAATTAATTCCTGATTAACGTGGTTTTTCGAATAATGAACAAACTTTTCCAGAGGATCGCGTTTAAAACTTTTCTTTCTCCACATTACAAACTGGTTTCGTCTTTGTTCGCACCTTTTTTGTTCTTGGTTTTGTTACTGATTGGTCGAAGGAATCCGGCAGATTGGTGTAGGCACTTTGCGCAAGATCTTTTTTAACTTATCACAGAGAAACAGTAAGTCAAGACAAACAACATACTCTTATTAAAGAACATGATTACCAGAAATAAGCTGTCATCACTGATTCTAATTCAGTACTTCTATATTTCAGTTGCTGACCGAGTATGAATCGATGTACGATGACAAGGATCAACAGGTAAAATAAACATCGATCATCACTTTGTCAGTTGTTGTTTATTTCAACACCTACAAAGAGAGGATGAAAAATAAGATGGCCAATCCCCATATGGGTTTTATTCTTAAGGTAATCCCTCCAAGTAACAGAAGTATTTTAGGAATAGTACCAATTCCACGCTCGTTGCATAGATGATGAACATGCGTGCTTCGCCGTGTGGGCTGGCCATGGTTTGGTTATTCCTACACCTTCCTAGGATTTCCCGCGACACCGGGAGTGATCTGAAAATAACATATTATCATCCCATTCCACAAGACTAACAAGGCTCAGTCATTAAATATGGCTTTCAATATCAATATATTTATTCACTCGCATTCTGCCTTCCAAGTAAGACGTTGAGCAAATTGGAACGCACGTTTTCATTTACAAACAGTTTCGCGCACTGCCCAGAATCAGGTACTGTACGTACAAGAACAGCAAGCAGCTCAGAAGAAAATCAATATTAAAGTGATCTGATCTTTTCTTTTTTTGTGTATTCTGCAGGGTTATGCCGCGATGCAGGAACACCTCAGTGGGCAGGTGAAGAACATCGTTTTTTCACTTTTCATTATTTTATTATTTTGAGGCCGTTTTCACTCACCCCTTATAGCAAAAATTTTGCAACTACTTTACCTTTTTCTTTTGTCCAGTTGTGTGACGCATGACGGATTTGCGCGTGACGTGACGTATTTAATTGCTTGGTGCGGGTTAGCCACGCGCTCGATCACAAAACGTGGGCCCATGCACCTAGTGTGGGTCACTGCTGGCGATGGTCTCAAGGAAAACACTTTTAATTACTTAATAAATAAGCCAATCTTGAAAAATTAACTAGATTCTTTTTCCTCCTCGCAGATGGCCATGGAAGGCCTGTTGAGTGATTACAAATCTTTGTGTCGTGAAAGAGAAGACGTATGTATGATAATCAAACAATATATACCACTTATGCAACACGTCCTCGTGGTATACCACGGAATATCCCACGAGTCACTTGTATTTTCCCGGTATACACTCAAGCCACGAGGCGAGTGTGTACATATATCTTATTAGATGTTTTGGTGTGTAGTATCGCTGTATATTTTTACGAGTTGTGCCGTATTCTGACGAGCCCGTAGGGCGAGTCCAAATATAAACAACGAGTACAAATATACAGCGATACTACACACCAAAACATCTACTAAGAGATTTATTATCCAACTGCTGTTAGTCAATGAATTTATCAGTGAAAGAGGGAGAATTTGACAGTTTTGCGTGCGAGCGCCGACCTGTCCGGCAAACAGCTTTGCTACTGTACAAATAACTGTACAATATCGCTGTATATTTGTACTCATTTCGCGCGATATTTGGACGGTATTCGCTGCAGTTGGATAGTAAAGGTCAGTATACCACGAAAATACAAGTGACAACACAGATATTTCATACCATGCCATAAAAAATAGAATGGCTAACAGAATCAGTGCGACATACGCGCGGTGCATGATAGGTAGGGGGCGATATACAACGGCTTTCCTGCATTCTGATTGGCAAAGTATAAAATACAATACAACAAATTGATTAACGGATCAAATTACTAGCTAGCAGGCTACAGAGAGCCTACTAACTGAGAACTCCTAACACTTGATGCGTACTCTTATATACTGAAAATTGAATAAACAGATTACGTAAACATGAACATTGTTAATCAAACATTAACCTAAGTCCAATCCAAATAAACTTACTTTTACTTTTTACTCTCATTCATTCGTTGTTCGTGACTCATTTGCGTTTGTTAGTTTTTTTCGTTTGCTCCAGTCTCACTGATTTGCCTTAATTACCAAACAGAAACCCTTGTACTAATCGTAAAAGGCAAAAATCATTAACTGTTCGTTTTATATTATTTATTTCAGCTGTTGAATTCATTGCAAGATGTAAGTAGCTATCTTTACTTTCTTGACTCTTACTACGACAGTGGTCACCGAGTTCAGTAGCGACAACATCCTTTTGCAGTGTCAGTTCTCACTCAGCTGGGCTCGACTCGCTTCTTCAATTTCTTTTGTTGTTCCGATTTTACCATCTGTATATCTCAGGGGGTTACTCCCTAGTATAGGCTATGTAGGTATGTTCGGTCCTAAAGGGTATGGTTTTTAGCCGTTTTGGTCAGAAAATTAGAGGGAAATCGATTTTCACTCTTTTTGGTCTCAAATAGGGTATGTTTTTTACACTCTAGTCTTGAATAGTGTATGTTTTTTTTCGAAGAAGCTACTTTTTCATCATTATCGATAAGACCATCAACAAAAGCCCTTCACACTGCTTTTAACATCGGTCAAACCTAGGGAACTAATTATAAGGCAGGTCTGAAGCAGGTCTAAAAATAGGGTATGGAAGTTTTGGTCAGGTCATAAGTAGGGTAGGGAAAATTGCAGATTTTGGTCATAAATAGGGTCAGGGTTTTAGGAAGCAGGCCGCCTATCCCCACCAATTTTTCTGGGAGTACCCCCCGGGCTGTATATATTCACCACCAAAGTAAACCCGAACGCAAAATGCATACATAAGACCCTGTAAAAGGCAATGTGGTTTAATATTACATGCTAACATTACTTTTTCCTTGACATTTTCTATCTCTCAAAGTCTCTCGATGTGGACGAAGAGGAGATGTTGGACGCGGTAAGTCTCTTGTCTTTGCTTCAAAGATATTTTTGAAGATTGTACATATTTAGTTGAGTCTTTGTGATAGGTTGATTCGTTCCTCTCTATTCCCTTGATTGTCTTCATATTAAAAAATAGCACATTTTCCATAATTGATCACGGATAATGTACACAAAAATAAGCAATGAATGTGCATGTTTATTATTTATCCAAATTTCCGGAATTTCTTGTTCGATCGGAAAACTGTTTATCACTCTTATTTGTCGTTTATTCACAATTTGTGCTTATTTTTTCAAGGTTTATTTACAAGTTTTTTTAAATTTCCATTGCAGCTTGAAGCTGTGAGCAGAAAGGAACACTCCATAGACATTGAAGGCGCTCAGCAAGCCATTCAGTTAGTACCGACAATAACAGATTAATGAGGATTTTAATATTCTTTCTGAGCATTTCTTCAGGATAATATCAATTAATCAAGATAAGGAAGTGAAAACACTTACCTTAAGACAAGTGCTTGTGTTTAGGAAGACTACGAGTAATCCCTCTTTCGCTTAATCCGTCGTGCGAGACGGGAAAGAAAACCGCGAGAAAAAGATAGCCGCGCGAAATCCTGGAGCATTCTCCTTTTGCGCGCTCCTCGCCCCCAGGATTTCGCGCGGCTATTTTTCTCCCGCAGTTTTCTTTCGGGTCACGCACGACGAACTGAGCGAAAGAGGGACTACTCGTAGTCTAATGTTTAGGATCAGTTAATACGTCATGTTATGGAAAAATGACGAAACCCCGGGGCATCTTGCTGGAGTCAATCTTTCTTGGTGAAGTCACAACTGACGGAGTGCTCGCATTAGTCAAATCAGTAAATCTTTTCCCTTCTCGTATAAGGATTTGGCCCCAATCGATATAACTTGAACGTTTTATTTTCCTCAGTGTCTTCTCAGACTTTGGTCCCCAAACAGAGAATTCAACAAGAAATGACTAAAACACTGCAATGGTTTGGTTCCACACTCTCTCCGGCCACACGAGCAAAGCGACGCATTTCTATCGTTTTGACCAGTGATCCGACATTTCCATGTCTTTTTTTTCTTTTGCAGTGATACAGTTCAAAATGTTAGAGAAACCGCGGACAAATTGAAGATGATGAACAAAAAGATGATCGATTTATCAAAGGCAGGAGAAGCTACGGAGGACTTGGAACAGTATGTTTCAATTATATGGTCTGGTTTAAATTATATAATCCAGGTGTAAACATCGTGACTCATGGGCTGTATCGGGGATGTGCGGCCCCAAAGTGCATGGTGTTTCAGCCATTTTGGTCATATTTCACATGTACAACTCTTGCCAATTTTCTTTCCTAATCATAAAAATTACAATTTCCTCGATTGTGATTGGTTTAAAAAACTCCTATTTTCCACTAATTCACTTACCAAGTTGTCAAGGGACAGTTTGGTATGTAAATGCAATGTAAATGCAATTTAGTATCGGACAGTTTGGTATCAGACAGTTTGGTATCCCTACTATCGGACAGTTCATTAAGCCAATCGCATTCAAAGTTGCAGTTTAAATCGACCAATCACATTCAAAGTTGTAGTTCAAATCAACCAA